AGAAAAGATTTTCTCTCTGGCTTGTCTTAGGTAACTAGATCCTAGTGTAATATTGTATTTAGTAGCCCTATAAAAATTAGGAAAGGGTTGAACTTTTGGAGGCAAGGGGTTCAGAAGTGTCCCAGGAAGCTGTCCAGGGAACAGGTATATCCTTGGGGGCTGAGCTGAAGAACTCTAAAGTTGCCAAATCAAGTGTCTCAGGGAACATGCAAATGAATTGTCCTAAAGGTCTCAGGTCAAAATATTGGAGTTTGATTATGAAAAAGAGCCTTTCTTAAGAGAACAATATTTTTGGCACTGTTGCTTCGGTCATGGCCAAAATATAGGGGAAAAATCTTCCAATTATTTGAAGGCTCTAGGTTCTCATAAAAAAATTCAGTGTCTCAGGTTGACTCTACAAGCTGTAAAAATTTGGCTTATGTAAGTCTATAGTTGCAAGTAATATTACATTAGAGTCAGCCTGTATCTGTCCATGAAAGTACTTAACATGATAGCAAGGCCGTTACAGGGAGCATCTGAGGAGCTTGAAGGACAGGACAAGCACACACAGCCCAAGATGCTGAGCCCTCATCTACTGGCCCGGTTCAGACCCTTTCTACGAGCCCGGTTCAGACCCTTTCTACTGGCCCGCAAACTCGAAGGGAAAGGACCGGAAGTTAAGGAGAGTCTGTACGCAGCACGTTTCTTTCAAACAACGGGTGTCTACGATATTATTACCAAGGAGGCTGGAGGAAACCAATTTCCAAGCACACTTCCATCAAAATCCTTTCAAACGATTTCTAAACCAGACTCTGTCAAAATCATTTAAACATTTAAAAACTGTTTTTCTAAACTAATCAAAAATCGAGTGATATTTGTGTATGAGGAGGAAGGTGGAGAGGACGCCGATACCAGTTGTATTATCTGACATTTATTATCCTAAGTGGGAAATAAGCTAGACCGTAGTCAACTACGAACAACTCGGCTCCCGCCGCATGGTAGCACCTTCTAGTTCCTGGCACCCTCTCCTTTAGGCGTCTAAAAATCCACAGAGCCCTTCCCACTGGCTGGCGGCTGTCAGCTGTTTATCGCCTCACTTCTATACCCATTTTCTCAACTCGTGCTTCAGTGTATCTCAGTATTTCTGCCCACCCTGTTGTCTATAAGAGCAGTCCCATTTGCTGCCCACTAATCCCCCACTGATTGCTAGTCCCCACTCAGTGTCCCTGCTAACTGTTCCTAACCTTCTCTTTCTATGTTAAAATGTAATACAACCCTTACCAGATGCTGGCACCATGCTCCTGAACTCAGCCTTCAGAAACAGGATCCAAATAAATGTCTAATGTTTATAAATTACCCAGGCTGTGGTATTCTGTTATAGCAGCAGAAAACAGACCCAGATAAGCCTATGCCTGTTCACTCCAGCTCTCCATTAACACATTTCTTTATTCTGCCCAATTTTTCTTTTATTCCCAATACACTAGAAATTATGCTCCTGTTGGTCTCCCCCTCCTCTTCCTTCCCTCCCCTCCCCTCCCCTCCCCGCCCCTCTCTTTCTCCTTCTGAGTCTTCAACCTCTTGACAATATTAATCCTCCAGAAGAGTTTTCAAAAATCCTCTCCAATCATCTACCTTTCTTACAGTGGCTCCATCCTCTCTTTTTATCTGGATGCTGACATCCCATGAAAATCCAAAATTCCCTCACTCATCATTTTATACTCTTTACCTAAGAAGTTGCTTCCAAATCTAAACTTTATTCTTTTTATGTTGTGTTTCTATGGCTTAAGCTTTGGCTTCTTCCCATGCAAGTCAATCTCACTAGTGCTCCTAAATCTGATTTATTGCTTTTCTCTCCAACAACTTCTACAAGTGTTTTATTTGTGGTACTGGCACTCATTCCCCACTCATCTAGCATCCTGCATAAATATTTTGTGTCCAGCTACCATCCACTGTGAGCTTTACATGTTAGTGAACAGCTCTAGGCCTAGGGATAGCAGGTGGGCACAGTGATGTGGTTCTTGCCTTTATGGAGTGTGAAGACAAACAATAAAAGTAATCCAGTAAAATGAGATTTGGAGAAAAGGTCTTCAAGGAAAGCTGAGTGGCTACTGTGAGGGATGGGCTGTGTGGGAGGCCAGCCACACTGGGAAGTAGTGTAGGAAGCCACTGTGGGGAAGGGGCAATTCAGCTGAGTCTGGAAACCAGAAAATGCCAGTCCAGCAAACATTGAGGAAAGAGCTTCTCGGACAAAGGGATTAGGCAGTGTAAAGCTCACAGTGTGCGCTTTCCTCTTTGCTTCCTTTATCCCAATAAATTCTGGCTACTCATCAATTCCCTGATCCAGTGCCACTCTGGCATCAGTACAGTTTACCTTCTGAAGGCAAAACTGCACCATACCCTCACTTCAGAACCTCCCATGTGGGTTTATAAACCAGAGCCTTAACATTCAAAACTCTTCATGATATAACCTTAAAATATCTTCCAATTCTTTTCTTGCATGTTGGTAGACATAATCTACTGAAATTATTTCTCAGCACACCCTTAAATATTCCTGCTTTAAAGCTGCCCATAATGTCCCCTGAGTTGGACTAATTGGTATCTCCTCATACTCAGTATGGGCCAGTCATATCCCTTCAAGGCCTAGCTCACTCCACCTTTTCCTTTAAGATGTTTTAGATTTCTCTCTTGAAATCCCTGAAAACGATAATTCCTAATGTTAGAGTATCAGTAAGCCCCATAAACTGAACTAGCCCAGACTAAAAAATGTCTAGTCTATCTGTTGGAGGACCCACTTTTCCAGTCTGACTGGTCAATTACCTGGTGATAGAACCACTCCCAGGAAGGCGGGTCACCTTAAGTTATGGTAAATAGATGGGCGGAATACCTGGTGTGTTAATAAGGTAGTGAATATTTCCTGCCTGGGAATAGCTCAGAGCCCCACAGAACTTCCAGACCAGCCACAGCCATGTAGGTCTCCATAAGTCTCAGTAAGTCTCCACTCTTCAATTCTTTTATGAATGAGACTAAGAACCCTCTAGGGTTCTTTCTTCCCGTTTCACTAACATCATTTGTCACATTTGCCCTGGACTGTGGTCGTGTGTCATGTATCTCTTTCTCTCCACCCTTTTCTATACTGCAGATGTGGAGGGCAGTGACAGTACACAATGCATCATGTAGGGACCTTATTCACGCTGTACACAGTGCATCATGTAGGAACCTTATTCACCCTGTACACAGTGCATCATGTAGGGACCTTATTCACACTGTACTAGCACAGTGCATCATATAGGGACCTTATTCACCCTGTACACAGTGCATCATGCAGGGACCTTATTCACCCTGTACACAGTGCATCATGTAGGGACCTTATTCACCCTGTACTAGCACAGTGCATCATGTAGGGACCTTATTCACCCTGTACACAGTGCATCATGTAGGAACCTTATTCACCCTGTACACGCACAGTGCATCATATAGGGACCTTATTCACCCTGTACACAGTGCATCATGTAGGGACCTTATTCACCCTGTACACAGTGCATCATGTAGGGACCTTATTCACCCTGTACACAGTGCATCATGTAGGGACCTTATTCACCCTGTACACAGTGCATCATGTAGGGACCTTATTCACCCTGTACACAGTGCATCATGTAGGGACCTTATTCACCCTGTACACAGTGCATCATGTAGGAACCTTATTCACCCTGTACTAGCACAGTGCATCATATAGGGGGCTTACTTACCCTGTACTAGCACAGTGCATCATGTAGGGACCTTGCTTACCCTGTACTAGCACAGTGCATCATGTAGGGACCTTATTCACCCTGTACTAGCACAGTGCATCATATAGGGGCCTTACTTACCCTGTACTAGCACAGTGCATCATGTAGGGACCTTACTTACCCTGTACTAAGTGCATCATGTAGGGACCTTATTCACCCTGTACACAGTGCATCATGTAGGGACCTTATTCACCCTGTACACAGTGCATCATGTAGGGACCTTATTCACCCTGTACACAGTGCATCATGTAGGGACCTTATTCACCCTGTACACAGTGCATCATGTAGGGACCTTATTCACCCTGTACACAGTGCATCATGTAGGGACCTTATTCACCCTGTACACAGTGCATCATGTAGGGACCTTATTCACCCTGTACACAGTGCATCATGTAGGGACCTTATTCACCCTGTACACAGTGCATCATGTAGGGACCTTATTCACCCTGTACACAGTGCATCATGTAGGGACCTTATTCACCCTGTACACAGTGCATCATGTAGGGACCTTATTCACCCTGTACACAGTGCATCATGTAGGGACCTTATTCACCCTGTACACAGTGCATCATGTAGGGACCTTATTCACCCTGTACACAGTGCATCATGTAGGGACCTTATTCACCCTGTACACAGTGCATCATGTAGGGACCTTATTCACCCTGTACACAGTGCATCATGTAGGGACCTTATTCACCCTGTACACAGTGCATCATGTAGGGACCTTATTCACAACCTTATTCACCCTGTACTAGCACAGTGCATTATGTAGGGACCTTATTCACCCTGTACACAGTGCATCATGTAGGGACCTTATTCACCCTGTACATAGTGCATCATGTAGGGCTTTGCATGTAGCTGACATTAAATATTTGTTAAACAAATGAAGGCATTCAGCAAACCTGAATCTGATTAACTAATATTTATTTCATGATTGTCCAAGTGTTTTCTTTCATCATTCCTCGGCCTCAATTCTCATGAGAGCTATATGTGAAGAGACAGAACAGGGAGGAATTGCGGTTTGCTTTGAAATTTAGTTTTAGTTTTAAACTGTTTGAATGATTAAAAGTTTATATTGAGGAACATTAAAAGTGATTATGTAATCAGTATAGTATGAGATAAATAACTCTTTGTGAACTATCAATGGGTTGGCTTCCTACTTGAGGTCCATGAACTTTTTAAGCTATCCCAAGGCCTAAAAAATACATAATCAAAAGCAAGGCAGCTCACACTTACCACATTACTGCATGTTCTGTAACGAATATTTCTTCCTTCACAGCTCCTAGATTATAAAAAAGAAAACAAGAAATCTCATTACTGTCCATGAAAGGCTGGGTTTTGTACTATTTCCTTATTTAAAAATTTCCTCTTAATACTAAGAAAAATCTTTGTTTTCTATTAAATAGATTCTTCAAGTTATTGCTGTTAACACTAACCTGAACAGATCTAATAAAGCTGTATGTATAAACTGATTTCTCTATAAAAGTTGAAACTAAACATTTGTCTTGATTTATAATTTTAAGAAATAAGTACCTAGTATTTAGTAAATCAAATAAACATTCGGGCAATGTTTTATGAAATATTTATATTAAGTGAACCCTATGCTCTTAATTATTCCTCACATATAACTAAAGAGATTATTTTTTTCAGTGAAAAACAGGGTTTTGGCCTTCAGGGAGGGTGGCTTTGTGAATCACTCCGGATTCCATGATCGAATATACTGGTCATCCTACCAAAAGCAATCTACAAATTCAATGCAATCTCTATCAAAATCTCATTTTTTTCTATAACTGAGTCCAGTGAATGCTCCCCTCGTGCTGCTTGCATTCATGTCGCAGTAGGGCCATGCGCTGGGACTTTAGTAACCCTGAAGAAAACCAACTCCCCCTCCCACAGCAGCTGCCAGTTGCCAAAATCTCCTCAGCTAGGGGTGGGCTTGGTGATCCCCCATTCATCCATGCTGAAATATTGACTGGCTTGACCTTGTGAAAGTCTTTTTCTTTCTTTCTTTTTTTATTGTGCAGGTAACCTTGGGCAGTCTTGTGCAGATCCCCACAGCTTCTTGAGTTCATGAGTACAATGTTCTTGTCCTGTCCAGGAGACAGGGTTTACCAATAATCCAAACTCTGAGTCTTACAGTCACTGCATCACCACTCACATTATTCTGAACCATTTTTCATAGTATTAAAAATATCTTAAAGGCACTATAGTTATAGCTGTATAACATTTCATCAAATGCTACAACAAAATTGGTATATCCCCTCCCCACCTTTATTTGTCATTTAAGTAATTTCATAGAATTTGATAAATAATAGTATGGCAAACTATCTCCATGTGTATGTTTTATCCAAGTTTCTGACTCTGTCTTTAAAATAGATAAGTTTCTAGAATGAGAATTTCTGCACTTGAGGGAATAAACTTTAGTAAGGCACTGGAAAATTACTGCCAAATTACATTCCATAAAGGTTGTGCTATTACATGCTTCTACCAGCAATCCATGGGAGTTTCCATTTTACTAAATTCTTAGGAGCAACAATAATTGATTTTTTTGCTAACACGTTCAATAATGACAACCCATGAGCCACAGCGCTCGCTCCTCAAGCTAACTCAAGCTTTTCAGAAAACAAGTCAATTTTGAGAAGAATTGCTTTGAATTTTGAGAGAACTGTTATACATGTAGTCAACAGTTATGGAATTTCAGATGTAATTTGAAGTTTGTTACAAGTATTTATTCAATTTTCTCAATTTGCAGAGCAATGGGCTAGCATTATTGCTGTACAGATGGGACTTTTTTTTTTAAAAGCTTGATACAGAGTTCCTTAAAGAGGCTTGTCAGAATCCCACAGGGGCTAAGTGGTAGAGCTGATTTGGCAGTTGGACCACCTGGCTTCAGAATCCACATTCACAATTACAATTTGCCAACACCTCCAACTCGGCAAACATTTGCAGAGCTCGTGTTATGCACTGGGGAATGAGCTTACTTTGAGAAATACAGAATAATGAATATGACTTGGCTTTTGCTTTAAAAAATTAATAATGAAATTTAGCATAAAAATGATGTATGACTATGATTGTGTTGTCGTAAGAATGCTAACAAAAACAAAATGTCATCTGAAAACACAATTACACAAAGGCTGCTTTAAGCCTAAAGACTTGACTTCAGCTAAATTAATTACCTTAATATGTAATAAAATTATAATTAGAAAAGGAAGGCATTAGAATACTACAAAAAGGGAGAGTCAGTAGATGAATATGGGGCAGGGGGTGGTCAGTGCTCAGCTAGCAATGAACTTGAAGCCAATGATCTTGATGTTCACCATTAGACAGGCCGCTGCCACCTTAGTAGATGACCCAAGCTGATACCACTGAAAGTTCAGCTCATATGAGGCACATCCATCATCTGATGCCAAGTTGGCCAAGCTGCTAAGTATGACTCTGGATTCTCATGACTGCTAAGAGGTAGTGAGTGCTGGCCATGTTGGCATGAGTGTGCTGGTCTATGTGACTAACAGTTCTAGGCCTTGTTCTAAAGCAGTAAACAGGCATCCCAAGACGACACATTAGTCTCCTGGGCCAAGCCATGCTGATTCTCCTCCCTCCTTCAAAAGAAGGATCTGTTCTTGATACTATTGCTGAAACTGAAAGTTTCCACATCTAAAATGCAAGTTAGGCTCCACATGATGGTTACTTTGCAAGGTAATGAATTCTGCAACTCTGTGACCTTAGGTGACATGCTACCATTGGGATTTGTTGAATATGAAGGGTACTTTTTTCTTCCCTCCCTCCCTCCCTCCCTTGCTCCCTTCTCTTTCTCTCATTCCTGCATCCCCCCACACACCCTTTCTTTTTCCTTGTTTTTGTTGTTTGGTTTTTGTTTTGTTGAGGCAGGGTCTTAGATTTTCTTCTTCTACTTGTGTGAACCCCTTGCCCTCTTGGGGTCTTAATTCACTCACCTGTCAGATGGCTTTAGGAGTCAATGCAAAAAGCTGATCTTTAATTGATAATGTCTCAAAGCTCTGTTCAAACACCAGCAATTATTACAACAGAGCCATCACTCACAGAATGAAACAAAGAAGGCAAGTAGGAAAATACCTGCCTCAATAAAGTTTCTTCGGAAGACTTTAAAGTATAATTTACTGGAATTCTTGTATATAGGAGATATAGCATACAATACAAAAGAGATTTAAATACTTTTAATTAGGACAAAGAGAAACAAAGAAAAAATGCTTGTTATATTTTCCAAAGAATATCCTGCAATCATCTAACATCTAATATGTTTTACAAATTATTTTTCTTTTACAATATCATATTACATTTTAGTTGAGTGCTTATTTAACTTGACAGAAATATGGCATTAAAGTGGCAGTGCTTAAGTTTGGCAAAGTGGTTATTATTATTACTATTATTATTTGTGTTACTGGGGATTGGGCTTAGGGTCTTGTACATCTCAGTTGAGCTGTATCTCTAGCCCTCGTAATGTGCTCATTATTGAAAGACATTGTCAAATCGTGGATGGAAAATTATAATAGAAATACTCAGCCCCAGTGTTTGCATATTATTTTTAATTTTCAAACAGCTGCAGTTTTATTATTCTCACTTAACAGATGAACAGATGAGGTCAAGAAAGTTGAGCAGGCTTAAAGCTACATTCATAGGAAATAGAACACCAGGGATTTGGAACCTGGGTTTGACTAATTCCAAATTATTTGAAACAACAACAAAAGGAGCAAGATGTGCCTGGGTGTGTAATGTTCTAACACTACACTAAATGTCTGGGAAGCGAGGAAGGGAGTTGGCCTGAGGCTTAGCTGTAACTTACTGTATCAGTTTATCAGCTGATTCTCCATTCTGGTAACTCTACTTCCTGTAAAACAAACTAGACATACACTGGACCATCTCCAATAGAAACACATTCATCAGTTAACATGCAACGTAGAACTGCGGTGCAGAGACGCTCACTTAAAAAATCAAATTTCTTGGGTTTGAATATAAATTTTATATAAGTAGTAAAGTTGACTACCCACCACAAGATCTAACTCCTGTTGAGTGTGAATTTCTTCACACAAGGCATTTATCTAGGCACAGAGCCTCCTCTGAGAATTAAATGAGGATTTTTTTCTCTTTCCTTTTTTAAAAAATTTGTTAATATAAAACAACTGGGAGGACTCCTTCATATTTAAGTGAATTAAAATTTACTTATGGAGATTAAAACCAGCAGAAATTTTAATCTAAATCGTTTCAGAAAAAGTTATAGCGTATGAACAGAGCAGGATTTCTAAGTCAGCGCATTCTCTCAACGCAAACTAAAATACAAGAATGTGGCGAGTTAAGTACCTACCGAGCCAGTTGTGAACTCAAAGCCTGGCTCAAGTAGAAAGAATATGTACAGACATTAGCATATGCTGCAACCCAAATTTGATTAGAAAGTTCCATATCTGTTTATCTCAGTGCTTCATTCGTAGCCTGTCAATTTGCACTTAAGTCCTCTCAAAAATGAAACTATCTCAATCACAAGCTATTATGTATGAATTAGTCAGTTTTAATTCCCTTGTAATGAGATTAGTGTAGACTCCAGGCAACTTTGTCTCTAACACATAACAAACCCTCTAGACTTTTCCAGTTCTTGAAATCCGGGTGTTATTTTACTTCAACCACCATAATTTAGCAGCCTTGGATGAGATGACAATGGTAAGACAGTGTCAGCCTCAGCAGGGGCTCATTCAGGCGTGGGCACTGCCTTCTCCTTCACCGGTGAGCAGCTCAGTCCTCAAGGGCCTGGAGCAAGTACTGTCCCTCCCTCTCCCAAGGAGCCAGTTGCTAGAGAACACCTGAGAGCACCATGCACCAGTACCAACCAGGAGAGTCAGGAAACCAGAAAGACCACAGCTCTCTGATGCAAAACCCCTGTTTTGCAAGTGTCTGTTTACTACTAAATTCCTTTATAAATAAAAATTTAACTAGCTGCCAGTAAATCTACCTTAGAAGTCAACTTTAAGCCATATAATCATGAAAAGAATTTCCTGAAATAGTCTTGTGACTAGCTTAGGACATATAGGTAACTGAGTTGTAAATTATGGGAAGCTATGGTTAGAATCCACCAATGAGAAAGTTGCTAAAAGGTTCTGTGTAATGCTCTATAAAACCTGCAAGCTAAACTGGCGGGTGCCCAGAATCTCAGAGCATTAGCCTATCTGGGACTCTAGCAATAAATAAAAGGTGAGCCCTCTAAGTCTCCGGGTAAAGTGCTTGGCATCTATGGCTCCGAAGAATTGGACGTATTCT